ATGTGCGGAAGGATCCAGCTATGCCGCTTGTGGCCATATATCCAAGGTCTCGATCTTACCCCAGAGATTCTGGTTCGTCCCTGTCTATTGCTGCTTTATTCATGATAGTTGGGAAATGGAAACAGCCTAGATGCCCTCAACCAATGAATGGCTCCTTAAATTTGGTACAGTTGTATAAGGAAATATTATTAAGGTGGTAGAAAAATGAAAATCATAAAATTTTCAAGTAAATGATTGGATCTAGAAATGATAACACTGAATGAGGTAACTAGGCTCCAGAAAGACAGAAATTATATGTCTTCTCACATGTGAATGTTAGCTTTCTCTTCAGTTTTTTATTTGGAATACCCACACAGCTCAGGTAACAAGGAAAGGATCATGGGGAAGAGGAAATCATTCAAGGAAGGAGAAATAAAATACAGTGTTTTAAAGGGAGAGAGAGGAAAAACAGAATGGGAAGGAGTAAATCCCCCCTTTTCTCTTTTCTCCAACTCCCCTCTCCACTTAATCCTGATTACTACCTATTCCTGGCACACCCCTGGACAGAAAAGGATAAGTAGGCGGGAACATACAGCTTTGCTAACTCATCTTCCAGCCATGGATTCATAATTATACTGTTTCCCCCAGTTCACTTATTGTCCTTGACTTATATAACATACCCTTATCATCTAAAAATCCTCTATGGTTTTTTCCACACCAAATTGTTTCCTCTACCAGTACAAAAACAACAGTTTCTGAAAATGCCTATGATACATCTGTGTTCCTTTACTGTCTTATGCTACTGTGAATAAAATGTCCAGATCTCAGTAGATGCTAACACTTCATGCATGCCCTAAGATTCGTAGCATTCTCTTCTACCTAAATATAGGACTCATTTTAGTTCATTTTGGGCTGAAATCAAGTCTCTGTCCACTTCATCATGCTTATCTCAAATGTACTTCTCCTATTTTAAAATAAAGTTAAATTAAAATAATTATGATTGAGACCATGTCTGTGTTAGCTACTACCTGTTTTTTATTTTGTTTTTGTTTGTTTGCTTTTTTTTATTTTACAGTAATACTCCTCAAAAGGGCAGTTTCAAAATCTTTTCTATTAAACCCAAGCCAATCAGATTCATCTCTTATTACTTCATGAAACCTTCCTAAGTCTCAGGTGGGTGATCTTGTCAATTTTATATTTCCATAGTTTAAAAATAACTCATCTCAGGAGAATATTATTCTCTCAGTAGTGGTATATATATCTCACTTGTTTTACAAGTTAAATTTTTTAGACTTATTTTCAAATTTTTATCATGTATGGGTGTTTTGTCTACATGTATGTGCATTGTGTGCATGCCTTCTGCCTGTGGTAGTCAGAACGTTTGGATTCCATAGGACTGGAGTTATGGATGGTTGCAAGCTGCCAGGAACTGAACCTGGGTCCTTGGCAAGTCCAAGTGTTCTTAACTGCTGATCTATTTCTCCCCTATCAGATCATTTTTTTAAATTGTCAAATATATTCATGTACAGTGCTTACTTAAGTTGACTATGTCAACAAAAAATAAAACATTCTTAACATCTGGGAAACAGAGAGTATGACTCAGTATGACTCACTAATGACAGATTTAGACTATTGTAATGAAGTATTAATACTTCTCTGAGAGTTACTGTGTAATACTCTGATAGACACTTTAGATACCTATCACAAGAACCCTAACTACAAACAAGTGTTGTGTTTTGAAGTTCTGGTGATGAGGCTCACAGCCTTGTGCATCCTGGAAAGCATTCAACTACCAGCTATCATGCTTCTATTCACTACACATAAACATTTGAAAACATAGGTCAAAGATAATAAATACTAAAGCTCTCACAGGACAGTTTATATCATAAAATTTTATTTGTAACTAAATTCTGCAAAATATATTAATTGGCTCTTCACAAATAAGAGAAAAGTCTGTCCTAAGAGCTCATACTTGATTACCCAGAGCAGGAAGACAGTATTCTGTCAGGCTATTATTCTTAAAATAAGGAGAAACATGAATCACAAGGATAGCCACACAAAATATATCTTCTGTTTTCTTCCATGAAACTAATATAAGTCATTCTTTCTGAGACATTCCTTATTTAATATTAATTTTGGAATTTTTTTGGTTTCTTGTTTTTTATTTTTAGTTTTTAATTACACTGTTTTGGTGGGAACAGGAGTGGAGGGCAGGGGGCAACTTGTGGGAGTTGGTGCACTTCTGCTACTGTGTGGGACATGGGAATTGAACTTGGGCTATTAGGTTTGACGGCAAACACCTTTACCTGTTGAGACAACTTGCCTAGTGTTATCATTTTCTTTAACTTACTTATTTTATTTCTTCATCTTAGATTTTTGAGGTAGGGTTTCAGTATGTTGGTCTAGTTGGTCTGAAACTAGCATTGATGGCCTCCTTATTTCTTGAGTGCTGGGATCTCTGGTGTGGACAACCTTCTGTTTCTACTTTGTCAAAGAAAAATAAGAACCACCTGGTTCCAGATGACATCACTGTTTGCAAAATGTACCTGTCATAATGTAGATATTACCTGAATTTCCAATAAGTCGTCTATCACCAGCTATGTAAATGATTTCTATCTGCAATGCGAGAGTTTTCCCGTGAAAGGAGGCTCTGGCCTCTCAGCCCTTAGAGCATCACCCAGGAACACACAGCAGCTGGGATCTGCAGCATGCATGCTACCTCCCCACAGGTGCTCAGGAAACAAAGCACACCTTGGGGTCATCTCCTACTCCCCTCACTCACTCAGCAGGAGCCAAATGTGCAATGTGTCTAATTAGCTTGCTCAATGTACCATCCTCCAATTTACAATGTCCTTTACCAACACTATTACTGGAAAGCTACTGTTGGCTTAGACAGTACAAAACCTGGTTTGGGAAAAACATATTTCAAATGCTTAAATGTCCCCAGATTAAAACCTGTACATCAACTGTTGACTCATATGCTGAGGGAAAAAAATGGGCATGACTGATTTTGGTATAAAATAAAAAATAGTAGTATTAGATTAAAATGTATGGTCATGTAAGCAAAAAAATACACTCTAACCTATATGATTTTTTAAAAAACTGAAATTGGTAAATTAATAGCATACTGGGTATTGGCTTTCAAACAGTAAATGGATAGTCATAAGGAAAACAGACCCTCACATGTTAATCCTGCAGGCACAGAGACTTCTGCTTAAATAAAACATAGTGTGAAACATTTCAATTTAGAAATCTATCCTTCTTAATGTTTTCAAGTTCAGTACAAATCAAATCTATCACCAAGAAATCATAGCAGAATGCTTATCAACAAGGGAGACAATCTGTCTTCTAAATGAGCCATATGAACTCTGTATTTCCAAGGAAAAGCTAGAAATTGCTATCGGTATAAAAAGTGCCTCCTAGAAAGACAATTATTTCTGAGAACAATGTTCTGGTAGAACAATGTCCTTTGTGCCTCCACAGGGGAAATAAGCAACTGAGCTGTTGTCTGTGTTTTTCCATATGTATAGTCATAAAAAGGAAGAAAACAGACCTTTGTCCATTTGTACAAACTCTATGGTACACATGCCTTTTGTCTTTTCCTTCCTTCCTTCCTTCCTTCCTTCCTTCCTTCCTTCCTTTTCCCCTCCCTCCCTCCCTCTCTCCCTTGCTCCCTGCCTCCTTCCTTCATAAACAAAATTGCTTCTTCTTCCCAAGATCAGTAGAAGGCATATTACCCCGCAGTAGAGATGATGTAGGCTGGGACATTTCACTCTATGCCACTATGACACTTCCAATAGACATGCAATGTACTTTCATCCTATTTGCCTCACATGAGTTTCTCTCCTATTTTTGAAGTATTTTACTTTACAGTTCCAGGCACATCTACAGTGTGCATGTGGGGGTCAGAGCCTAGCTCCCGAGAGTCAATTCTGTCCTTTCACAATGTGAGTATGGTGGGTTGAAATCAAGTTGTCAGGCTTGGAGGCTTTCTTGCGTGAGCCATGTCGGCGGCTCCTCATTGCTCCTAGACTACTTTCTTATAATCCCCATGCCTTTCACACCGCTTGTCCTCTTATTTTCATGCCCTACCCCACAGCTTCCACATAGGAGAGAAAACATGTGATGCTTGTCTTTGGGGGACTGGCTTTTATCACCTAACACGATCTCCTGTTCCAATTTCCCGCAAATGCTAAATTGCGTTCTTTATGTCTCAGTAAAACTCTGTTGTGTATATATACTATGACTACCTCGACTGATTCCTTAACCTGGCTATTGTGGATAGTGCCATGGTAAACACAGATGTGCAGGGACCTCCATGGTAATCTGACATACATTTACTTATTTATTTATATCGTGTATATTGTGTGGCTAAGTCAACCTAAGTCAACGTTTAGCCTTTTGAGGAACTTCCATACTGATTTCCATAGTAGCTAGCTCAGTTTCCATTGCCACTAGCAATCTATACGTGCTTGCCCCAATCCTGACCAGTACTTGCTTTTTTTGGTGACAGCCATTTTGATGAGGGGAAGTTGTTTGGATGGACATTTTCCTGATGGATAAAGGTGGTGAGCCTTTCATCTTCTACTCATTTTGCATGGGTGCTTCTGCAAGTGAAATGTCTGCTCACTTCCTTCCCTGTTTGTAGACTGGAGTCTTTTTGTTCTTTTATTCTTTTGTAGTTTATTTAGTTCAACATATATTCTAGATATTAGCCCCCTTATCCACTGAATAATTGCCAACTATTTTCCCTGGTTTGTACCCTTCCTTCCTTTTCTTTTACTTCACAAGTATGTAGTACAATTTGTCTCTGCTTGCTTTTCTTCCCCGAGTCCTTTGGATCTTATTCAGAAGCCATTGCTTATTCCAGATCAAATGTTTTCCCCTAGTAGTTTCAGATTTTTAGGTTTTACACTGAGGTCTTTGATCCTTTCGTAAGTCACACATAAATAAAACCTAAAACTAGGACTGCTCCTAAAAAATGTAAAGAACACAGAACTTGTACAAATGAACTCACTTCATTTCACAACAGCAACAGGAATATATTCTGTTCAGAACCTCTAAGTACTGATTTACAATGCATGGGCACAAAAAGCACATGTTATCAGTGTAGACAGAACACAATCAAGTCACCCCACCTCCCTTAAAAATGAATAAAACATAAAGTTATAGCGCCTCTCGTGGTCTATGTGCTCTGCACTCTGATGCTGCGCATGTCTCTTAGCAGCACTGGTCGGTAGTTTTGCTCCAAAGTCTCCATGTATTCAAAGTAGTTGCTCACTCGAAACCCACGCAGTGCTTCTTCCTGCCAGGAAAATGTGAAGGGAAGTTCATTTACGTAGAGAAAGATGCACAGCTCCAAGTGAATAATGCTTAAGTATCATTTGTTTTCAGCTCAGGATGCTGGGGCAGTTTGCGTGGCTAGTAAATATGGAATTGCTTTTCATTTGGGGAGCTGTGTCTGTGTCTGTCAGGAATGAGTCATGGCCTTGTGGTGCAAGATGATTGTAAAAGACAAAAATGCTTTACAGCTAGCAGCAGCAACAGCAATAGCAGCAACTCTTCCTAAAATTGAAACTAATAAAGGTAATTGATAAAGGCTCTGAACTCTCTCTACCTAAGGATGCTTGCTGCTCACAAAGACCTCCATTGGCCTGTGGTTCACAATGCTGGCACTAGGCATGTGGACAGTCATTTTTAATTTAATACTGTCCCAGATGAGGCATTCAAGAATAAATGGCATGGATATCTATTCATTATTTTAATGTCTTTAGGGGAAGCAGTTGACTATGCCTTTCAGCACTCTCAAATGTGTCTAACGTAGTATTTACCTGAAAGGTTTCTTTAAAATCTTCAGAATAGTTATTCTCAATTCGACACAACTATGTTAGCTTTGGAGGACATAAACATTTTAGACAATTCATGCCTTTTACAAGCTTACAGTTTAAAGATTAAAATTGAATAACATAAATACAACAGCAATCCTAAAGAATGAAAAGCAATGCATATTACATACCAGATAGTTTTTCAGTAATGATAGAAGCCATCAATGTAAGTAGCTAAAAAGGCATGCGATTTCTCACATAAAAGATGATTTTAAAAGCTTCATATGTGCTCATATTATATATATATATGTATAAATATAACTTCATATATACTCACTTATGAGCAATAATTCACATCATGCAAATAGTTATGTGGAACTTTACTGTTAATATTCCATGTGTCACGTAAACTCCACATAATTTGAAGAAAGACACAGACAATCTAAAATATTACTAATCACTAAGGTTGCCAGACACTGAAGAAACTTGAATGGTGTTTACTGATGACATCCACCATTATCCGATCCACACAAACATGTGATTTCCACTTCTCACTTTAAGGTAAAAGAATGTGCCATTCATTCTCTCCCTGTTCACTCTTACATTCGGTTAGCACATGCAAGCTCTTGGTTGTTCACACAAGACACAAAAATGACGGAGGAAAGGACTGCCTCCTACACGGTTAACGGCCAAGGTTAAACCATGTCCTCCCATTAAAAAACACGAAACTTCTCTTAGAGATACTAATGCTGCAACGGAATACCACAATCACAGCAACCTGGGGAAGAAAGTGCTTATCAGGCTTACAATTCCCCTTAGCGAAGGAAATGAGGACAGGAACTCAAAAAGAGCAGGGTACCAGAGGCAGGAGCTGATGCAGAGGCTATGAAAGAGGGCTGCTTACTGGCTTGCTTCCAAGGGCTTGCTCAGCCTGCGTTCTTATAGAAGGAAGGACCACCAAACCAGGAACGGCACCACCTATAGTGGGGCTGGGCCCTCCCCCATTGGTTACTAAGAAAATGCCCTGCATCTGGATCTTATGGAGGCATTTTCTCAACTGAAGCTCCTTCCTCTCTTATGACTTTAGCTTGTGCTAAACTGACATAAAACTGTCCAGCACACTACTGAACCCAAGAGAAGATGCTCAGGTGGGCATTGTTCCCACACTTGTAATCCTTGTCCTTTATAGACTGTGGCAAAGAGATAGTAGATTCAGTGCCACTTGGGAAACGTAAAGAAGTCCTGTCTCAGCAAAGAAAACAAAACAAATAGCTGTTACTTGATTGGTGGCAAAATATTGGGTCCTTATAAATTTCTGTCTATCTAAAAAAAGTGGGGAAAGGATCAAAGTGAAACCAGCCTTACTGGACCAGAATTCACTGTAAATAGCTATGGTTGCAATTACAGAATTCTTACAAACTTAACCACTTTCTTTAAATGATACGTGACTGGGCTGTGATCATTTATGCTCTAAGTTGGAAAGCAATTATAGTAACATCTTTCCTATCACAGAAATTCCAGTACTGTGAGAACTGTTTCAGGATAGATGCATTCATGATTTTCAAAGAAAAGCTTATTACTCATTAAATGCAAGTTACAATGAGACATAGCAAAACTTGAACAATAGCTCTAATTATACTTTCTTGACAAAAAAATCAAAATCTACTTAACATATTTTAATTATTGTTCTACTTTCATTTAAACATAAAACTACATAGGGAAGACACAGTCAATACTTGGTTTAAATAGATTTCTTTTAAAAATATATTATTTTCAAAAACTGGTTCCTCTTTTAGATATTAATGCTAAAGAAAATATCCTAGTACCTACATTGAAGAGATATCATAATATTAGCATAAAAGGGTACTGAGGTTACATGTTATAAGGAAAAGACTTAACTATACATTTTAAATGCAATTGTAAATGGTACTGTTCACTTTAAAAATATGACAGGCAATTTTATTTCTGAATAAAAATTTTAAAGTACCCAAGTTTCACTCTTAATCTGTAAAGTAGAATATTTTTCATCTCATCCTAGACATTCTCTAACCCTCTTCTCAGGGGATAGATTGTGATTATGACCATTTAAATTGTTAGGCTATCATTCAAGTTGCAACTACCCATTTTCTTAGAGTGTAGTTTCACTTGCTGATCTAAGTCTATTTCAATCACACTGTCTATGAATAGGGAAGCATTGTATAGTTTTTTTTTTTAAAAAAAAAAAGTTTCAACGTTTTTTGTAACAATAGTGAAGTAGTTGCTCAAGAAAACACTTTAGTAGGTTATACTACAATAATTGAAATTAGTTACAATGTTCACTGAGAGGATGCTACATCTCGTATTATATCTAATTGCTATTCAGTATGCTTTCCTCATTAACTCTGGCTTTTAGCAAAAAAAGCATTAGAAATTAACATTCTTACCTGCTATTACATGATATGATGTAAACAGAGCTTCCTTCTTTCCTTTAGATATAAACATTCAATTCCAAGAACTCTTGTTTTTTAAAACACTTAGAATATTATTTAAAAGATAACTACACTAGTTAACCAGGGACAATTTGAGTCAACAGGATTTAGATTTAGCCAAGAAAGGTTGAAAATCTCTTCACACTAATTCTTAGATTATGAACTTAGGTAAGCTTCCTGACTGTAAATATTGATTTTTCATGAGCCACTGGGGACCACAATGCTGAGGCTGCTCTGTGGACGACATATACTAAACCCTGAAATCTTGCCATAGAGCACAGACCCTTCTATGTTCTCTGTCCCATCCCTTCCCATCCTTATATACTCAAGGTCTTCTATGCATAATACTTGTCCTGATGCTCAGGTTGAATGACCCTTTCATGGTGTTGCATATCATATTTACATTAGGATTTATAGCAATAGAAAAATTACATTTACAAATGTCAACGAAAATAATTTTATGGTTGGGGGTCACCACAGCATGAGGAACTATTAAAGGACCATAGTGTTACGAAGGTTGAGAACCACTACTCTATGGGAATTCTTGCCTCTAAGATTTGCAGCTGCCTCTCTCTGCTTTTATGAAGGCTTTTTGTCTAGAGATCATTATAAAGTTTTTCTTTTAAGGTATTCATGACCCTTCTTATATCCTTTTGAATGGCCCAAACAACGTCTCTGACTAACTCACCATGTCAAAGTGTCCTTCAATCAGATGTATAAAGTCAGAAATATCTATTTGTGCTATTTTTCTCAGCAGAATTTAAGAACCATGTGGGGCATGGACATTCTGTCATATGACTACAACAGTGCTTGGGATACAGCTGTAACACAGTAAGTACTGACTAAGTCAAAAGTGACAATGCCTCTACATCCTTTGTCCATGGCCTCTCATTCAGCAAACACAAAGTGTTAGTGGTGGTCATAACAATATCAACAGACAGTGTTTACAATGGCCAGGATACCCTCTCCAGAGCACACATCAGACATAGGGAAATCAAGGGAGGGTGATACATGAAGGATTATTGACTTCAGCTTTTGCTCCTCAATCCCTGGCCAAGAATATAAGTAAATACCCATCACAGATACTCAGACATCACTGGCTTTTCTCACAAATCCTCTGGGGTAAGCTTATGGGGAAAGGCAAGTTATACCTGCATTTCTAAAAGCTCGTTGTAAAGGTTATAGTTTTCAAAGATACTAGAGACTTGTCAAAAAATGTTTTTCAGCAACCAAAAGCCCATTAAACTTAATATTTTTATTTGGTGTTAAGTAGATACATGATACAGAAAGATTGATGTGCGGACATGGCCTACCTTCCTGGTTTTATGATTTCATGACTGAGTCTATTCATTCCCAGACATTTAATTATTAATGTATTTGCAAGGTTATGGTAATTATTCAAAAATTAATTTATAGAGCAAAAATCTTGGGTGGGTCAAAGTGGAAGAGAGTTGATCTGTATTAATGGCAAATCTCATAAAAAGCACTTAAGAACTGTTTTGTTTGTCATAAATACTTACTATTAAAAATATATACAACCATGGGGCCAGGAGATGGAGCAGTGGGCAAAGGCACTTGCCACACAAACCTGATGACCCAAGTTCAAGCCCTGGACCCCATGTAAAAAGCTGGGTGGAGTGGCACCCTACAGCCCTGGCACTCCTATAGCCACATGGGAGCCAGAGGCAAGAGAATCTATCACTTGAGCATCCATGCCTATGTAGTGTGTATTTCTTACAGGTCTGTGGACAGGTCCAAACATATAAACAAGCACATGACCCGATCCCTATAACCAGGCAGCTGAGGCAGTGTGTAGTTCTGGAGAGAACACAACGCTATTAAAGGTTTAGGATTGGCCATGTTCTACCTGGATATCTGAACTCAACTGAAAGATATATGTGATGATAAGAGAGATGTCAGTTCTAGGTGGGTCAGTGAGGGAACTGCCCTGACTGGGCACAACCTTAGAGTGTTTCTCACCAAGATGGGAAGATCTTATCCACCTCAGGCAT